GCACAGCATAAAGAAAAAGAAAACCTTCAAAAGTCCAAAGAAATTTATATTGTTCCTTTCCTTAAAACTCCTTCATGGCTTTTCATCAATCATAAAATTAATACAGATGCTAACATGCCCTGAAATAACCTGGACAATCTTTCCTTTGTCACCTCTCCAGCCTCAGCTCATAAAATTCTCCCACATCCTGAGTAGAGTCAACTCACCCTGATATTTCCCAAATATTGTTTTGTTTTCAATGCTTTGCACATACTGTTCCTTTGGCCTGGAACACTCTACATCCACTCGGTTTTCTATAGATTCAAACCCTATTTCCAACCATGGAAAACAGACCGCTGATTGGCAAATATAAAAGAAATTCCTGTAACAGTTCACGGGACTTTTCAAAGTCAGAAAATAAAAGTTCTTTTCAGCACCTGCAGAAATTAACACTCATGGTGGGACGGGTAAGACTGAACCAGAAGCAATATACCTGAGTAATTTCTACGTAACTGTAATTTTGGTAATGAGTGCCCTGTTTTAAATAATATGAAAGTTTGCATTTGGAATAACAACAACAATTATACTTTAATCACAAATCTATGATACATATGGCCCATGGGAAACATTAAAGCATGGTGTTAAAGGTAGATTATTATCTCTGGGCTTCAAAACAACCTCTGCTCCCAGTTTTTAATAAATCAGAAGGTGACACCTTGATTTTAATCATTGTTCCTTCAAAACGAATCTTGATAATTCAAATTTTTCACAAATTAATGTTAATTTTGTTCATCTTGAACAAAAGCATACCTGTAAAAACAATTCTTACCATAACATGTGGGTGTATCAGACCAACCATCGTTACCACAAATTATGGAACCTGTGGTGCGTCCATCTCTGCTCTCATAGCCATCACGGCACACGTAGTCCAACGTGTCATTGAGCTTAAACTGTGTTCTACCACTTTTGGCTCTGGCCTTCTCAAATAGTGGCATATCACAAGATTCTAATGCATAATAGAATGGAAGATTTCATTTCTAATATTATTAAATGAACAATCTGAACGAGTATGTCCCATACCAATGGGAAATAAAAGACTCTATCAATTAGTATGTGCTGATAAATTAAATATCATATGGAAATAATCCGAGAATGCCAGTGATAAATCCTTGTCCTGAAATTCTTACTCTAAAAAGAGTTTCTACGTAGCATTTTTCTCATCACTTATACTCTCTGAAAAATTTATTTTAAGAATATTTTTCTCAATTCAATTATACTCATGTTTTTATCCCATATTAGTAAGAAAAAAGGCCAGTACATTTTTTAGAAAAGCAAAATAGCATTTTTTGAATTAAGATGCCCAACTTATTAGCAGTCATGACATATATGCCAGAGAAAATAGATTAGTTGAAATAAAAGATTAATTTTCAACAACGCAAGTAAATTTTTTAAATTTCTATAAAACTCTGCCTTAAAACATTCTAATTTTTAAAGCACACATGCTGATATTGCTTTCCCAAATATTTTCCTAAATGCTTTGTGTTCTTTTATACTTATCAAGATGGAATGTAGAGAGAGTTCTACTGCTTATAATTAGTTATAAAAAAGTAAATTGTTAAAAATGTCAGTTTTCACTAACATTATACGAGAGTGCTGTTAATAAGGTTTAAATAATTTATCTCAAATTTTATAATGTGTTATGAAACGAGCGAGCTTAAGATTTAAAAAAGATAGCAAAACTAAAAACATACTAGTAAAAATGTATTTAATAGAGACATTTTCTCTTCCATAATAAGAGTGTTATAATGGATAGCTCATCACAATTTACTACAAATTGAGTTTGATATGGAGGCAACTTTTCATTTTTTCTTTGCCTAGTGCCCATAGTAAGCAAAGAGATTTAATAAAGATGAAATGAAAACAGCAAAAATGGATATTTTAAATATCCTTTTCACTTAAAGTAAATATGTTAAATATCATTTCAAAAAATGTTATTGTGTGGATTTAGGATAATAAGATAAACTGAGCAAATTGTTCCTAGAAAATCTTCATAAACATCTAAGTAATGGGACAGGGAAATCTTTCAACACAGAAAAATTTGGTACCATCTAGAAGTGTTTCTCAGTCTCCACTAATTAGATGTTTAGGAAGATTTTCTAAGGGAGAGGATTTTTCAGAAGTGGTCCTATCCTACAGTATAAAACAAATAAATTATAAATAGTCTAAGATTATGCATTATGAACCTATGTCTTCACTTAAAAAAATAACTCTCATGTCTAGCAGCAAAGACTGAGACATGAAAGTCTGATCACCTTAAAGCACGTACAACAGGTGCAAAGGTCTAAGCTAATAATAAATGAGTTTACACCAGAATACACATAAGAATTCCTAAGTAGTTTTGAAATCACAGAAGGTCTTAAAGAGGGAACACTTGAACTGAAAGATGCACTCATATTATACCCCACCAGTAATTAATCTTAAAAGGCAAAATAACATATATTCTCCTCAAAGTTCTTTTATTTGTCTTTTCAAGTGGAACCACCTCAGACCCCCAAAAAAGAATTAAAGTAAACTTGTGTACAACGATCATCAGGATGAAGAATAAGAACATAGTCCATTACTTACTAATGCATGTGGGCTGAGCTGACCATCCACTATGCAGACATGTAATTGATCCTGATGCTCTACCACCTGCTGTTACATATCCTGGTTTACACTTATATCGTGCTCGTTTATTTAAGGGATATGTAAAGTCAGATTCAGAAATAAATCCATTCGCAATTTCTATATCTGATTTTGAACATGTTTCTAAAAGGGAGAAAGCGTAAGGAAAAGACAAGTATATGTCATTTGTAAATGATAACCTGGAAACATCCTAATCAACCAAGTTCTTGTGCAGGGAAAATAGGCTATGAGTTTCCAAAGATATTAAATCAAGATAATTTATTCAAATTTGAGGGGAACAAAACTAGGTTTAAAATACTCAGAATCTCTTCTGAGAAATTATTAGAAATCTGTTGGTCTAATGAATCTAGATCCTACAGTATACCAGAGCTCTTCTAGTAATGGGTCCTTTCCTGGACTTGTGTTCAATATTGCCTAATGTGGATCTCTTAAGGAACCCCAGAACTCAGTTAACCACTTGAGGTATCTCAGATCAGGTGATGATCTCAGAGAATCTTCCACCAGAGCAACAACAGCCTTTGGCTCTGAGATTTTGAAATGTTGATCATCATAACTGGGTGCTTAAAACTATATGGATACAAGGAGTTCAAAGAAGATGACAAAGATCAACACATTCATTGATCTTCGAAGGCCAAAATGATGATTCCTTAAGTTATGTACAAGTTCACTTGAAACAGTAAAAGTAGACTTTTGTCCTTTACTACGTCTCTGCACAGGACTCAGCTTCATTTATTCAATAACCCATGGATAAAGAAGACAGCAAAAGAGAAAACATTAAGTACTTTTAACTGAATGATAATAAAAAGATGTTAAATAAAATTTTGTGAATTGGCATTAAGGTAGTGCTGAGAGGGAAATTTTACCATTAAATAGCTATATTAGAAAAGAATAAAGACTGAAAATCAAGAATTGTTTCCACTTTAAGAAATTAAAAAAGAAAAGCAAACAAAACCCAATATAAGTATAAATTTGAAAAAACTATAGAAAAGTTAGTAAGATGGTGGAATAGGATGCCTCTCCTTCTCCCCACACACAAACCGAATTAACAGCTACAGGTGTATCAATTCCCTTTATTAGAAATACAAATCGGGTGGAGAGATTCCTGCAGACAAGGCAAGTGAGAAAATGGTAAGTGGTAGGAGAAACTGCAATACAGTTTCATCATAAATCCCACCCCTGGCACAGCACCATCCAGCTGGGAGGGAATGCCCAACTCACAGCTTCTCCTTGAGGAACAAATGGTTGGAACCCTACATCTTGTGTCCCAAGTTTCCAACTGGTACTCCAGGATCTGGCTTCTAAGTCACCTGATCGGGAGGTAAAGGGCCCAGCATATGCTAGTCTCCTGGGGACTACAGAGGACAGAGTGTCAGTTACGAATGGGTGTGCGAGCACTTCTCACAGTTCAGCCCCCAGCCAAGTGCAGAGTGAGCAGATCATAAAGCCCAGCTCCCAGTTCTCCATGGAAGGAGTTAGATCACGCATCTAGACCCTCGTCTTTTCCAGCTGCTGCCTGAAGAACTGTCTTCTAATTAACCTGTCTCTGAGAGCTGACAAAGTCCACAATTGGCTAGATGCCTAGGGGCTCCAGAGAGCAAAATAATGGCTTGACAGAGCATGCGGTTTGAAGGAGTGTGCATGCATTGCCACACTCCTCTCCCCACCTCAGTGCAGAGTGAGTGGAATGAGAAACTCCAGCTCCCAGCCTCACCCTGAGTAGAGAATGAACTGGACCACACATCTAGAACCTCAAATTTTCTGGCTGCTCCTTAAGGGCCTGGCTTCTATCTTGCCTATCTCAGGACACTGATGAGACTTGGCTTACTCTAGACTCCTGGGGAATGCTAAACACAAAGACCACAGGTTGGATGAGCAAAGAGTTTTGAGAAGCACCCAGAATCTCTGTCTGGGCCAATGATGATAGATTCTTCTACAACCAGGAGGAAGACAAGTGTGCCCACTGGCACCACTTTTGTTCAATATGTACTGGAGGTCCTAGCCAGAGCAATTAGCCAACAAATAGAGGTGAAAGGGGTAAATGGGCACAAATCTACGGTGACAGATGGCAACTAGACTTTTGCTGGTGAACACGAGGTAGTCTATACAGAAATTAAAATATAATAATATACATCTGAAATGTATATCATGTAATAATCCAATCTTACCTCAATAAGAAATTTAAACATTAACAAAATTAAAAATTTAAAAAAGAAATAAAAGCCATCTGAATTAGGAAGGAAGAAATAAAATTATCTCTCTATGTAGATGACATGATCTTATACGTAGAAAATCCTACAGATTGAACAAAGCTGCTAGAACTAGTAAACAACTTCAACAAGTTACAGGAAAAAAAAATCAACATATAAAAATTAGAAACATTTCTACACACTAACAACAAACTATCTGAAAAGGAAATTAACAAAACAATCACATTTACATTAACAACAGAAAGAATGTAATGCTTAGGTATAAACTTAACCAAATAAGTGAACAACTTGTACACTGAAAATTATAATACATGAATGAAGGAAATTAAAGACGACAGATAAACATAAAGACATCCAGTGTTCATGGATTGGAGTCTTCAACATTGTTAAATGTCCATACTACCCTAAGGGACCTACAGATTCAATGCAATCCTACTCAAAATCCCCATGGCATTCTTTATGGAAATGGGAAAAACAATCCTAAAATTAATAGGTAACTACAAAATATCCCGAATGGCCAAAGCAATCTTGAGCAAGAACAAAGCTGAGGATATCACACTTCCTGATTTCAAAATATATTACAAAACTACAATAATCAAAGCAGTATTTTACTGGCATAAAAACAGACAAATAGATCAATGGAAAAGGACAGAGAATCCAGAAATAAATCCACACATATATGGTCAACTGATCTTCATCAAGCGTGCCAAGAACACACCCTGGGGAAAGGATGGTTCCTTCAACAAATAGTGTTAAGAAAACTGGATACCCACATACAGAAGAATAACATTGGGCCCTTATCTTATACCATATACAAAAATCAACTCAAAATTACTGTACTGCTGTCAATTTCTCCTCTTCAAACCTGTCAATGTTTGCTTTACATGATTAGGTGATCAAATGTGAGGTGCACATATATTTAAAATTGTTACATCTTCCTGTTGAATTGACTTTTTTATTATCATATAACGACCTTTGTCTCTAGAGACAGTTTTGGACATAAAGTTAAAATTTTTGATATAACGATAGCCACCCCTGCATTCTTTTGGTTGCAATTTGCATGAAATATTTTTCTCCATACCTTCACTTTTATTCTACTTGTCTCTTTAAGACTAAAGTGAGTCTTTTATAAATAATATATCATTTGTTTTCTGTTTTTTTAATCATTCAGGTAGTCTATTCCTTTTAATACTTGAGCTTAATCTAGTTAACTTAAAGTAATTATTGATAGGTGAAGATTTACTTTTGACATTTTGATACTTGTTTTCTGTTTTGCAATAGTTTTTTCAATCTCTTCCCCTTTTGATGTCCTCCTTTGTTATTTGATTATGTTTTGTAGATATTTGCTTTGACACTTTTCTCCTTATCTTTTGTATGTCTATTACAGTTTCCCTCCCTAGCTTTTTGGAAATATAATTGACAAAATGGTATATATGTAAAGTGTACAATGAGATGATTTGGTACACATATACATTGTGAAATGATTCTAAAAATCCAGTTAATTAACACAAATATCACCTCATATAGGTATCATTTTGTTGTTGTTGGAATACTGAAGATCTATAGTCTTACCAAATTTCAAGTATATAATACATTATAACTAATTATAGTCATCAAGCTGTGCATTAGATCTCCAGAATTATTCATCTAATAACTGATGTCTTACACCTTTGGATCAGCATCTCCCAATTTTCCCCACTCCCCAGCCCCTGGTAACTACCATTCTACTCTCTGTATCTATGAACCTGACTTTTTCTTCTTCTTGCTTCTTTTTTGGTTCTGCATATCAGATTTATCAAGAAGTATTTGTCTTTCTCTGGCTTATTACACTTAATATAACGTCCTCTATGTTTATATATGTTGTTGTAAATGGCAGGATTTCCTTCTTTCTCATGGTTGGGTAATATTCCATTGTACATATACATACCACATCTTCCTTATCCATTCATCCATCCATGGACACTTGGATGTTTCAATAGTTTGGCTATTGTGAATAATGTTGCAGTGAATATGGGGGTGAAGATATCTCTTCCAGATACTGATTTCATTTCCTTCAGAAACATAGCCCAAAGAGGGATCATATGGCAGTTAACTTTCTGAGGAATTTCCATGCTGTTTTCCACATAGCTGTAACAAATTACCTCCCCACCAAAAATGTACAAGTATTCCCTTTGCTCCACATCTTCACCAGCACGTATCTCTTGTCTTTTGGATAAAAGCCATTCTAACAAATATGCGGAGATAGCTCCTTGAGATTTTGATTTGCATATACATGATCATGAGTGATTTTGAGTACTTTTTCATGTACTGGTTTGCTATTTACATGCATTCTTCGAAAAAACATCTATTCAGATCCTTTGCCCATTTTTTAATTGGATTGGTTGTTTATTTTGCTATGGAGTTGTATAAGTTCCCTATAATATTTTTTTATTAACCCCTTATCTGGTATATGGCTCACAAATATTTTCTCCAATTCCACAGGTTGCTTTTTCATTTTGTTGATTTGCTGAGCAGAAGCATTTTAGTTTGATGTAGTCCTATTTATTTATTTTAGCTTTTATTGCCTGTGCTTTTGGTGTCATATGAAAAAAAACATCGTTGCCTAGACCAATGTCCAGAAGATATTTTGTTACATTTTCTTCTAGGAATTTTATGGTTTCAAGTCTTAGATTTAAGTCTTTAATCCATTTAGAGTAATTTTCGTCAGTGATGTAATACAGGGGTCTCATTTCATTCCTTTGGTTGTGGATAACCAGTCTTTCAAACACTGTTTACTGAAGACATTCCTTTCCCCATTGTTTATTCTTAGCTCCCTTCTCAAATATTAGTTAACTCTATATGCGTGGGTTTATTTATGGGCTCCTGATTCCGTTCTATTGATCTGTGTGTCTGTACCATACACTTTTCATTATTATC